TATCCAGACAAGCGTGTGCTGGCCGCGGTTTTTGTTTGCGTCATCACAACTTTCTGTTTCGGCCGCGTGGTTTCGGTGATAAAAGTATTTCGGCCGAATATTCGGTGCATCCCTACTTTTCTCCATAAAATATGATGCAGTTTCACCAGAATCAGTGATCGATTTGTGTTTTTGTACAGTAAGGAGGCCCGGCTCTTACAGGTGGACGTCATCATACAGTTAGTTGAGAACGGTTGGTTCAGGTTTCGAGGCCACGTCACATTTCGTGTTGAGCTTCAGGTGCAACACATTCACACTCACGGTTTCCCTGTTTCCGATCTTGAAGCTGCTGGTTGAAGCTTCACACGAACATCAGAGCGGGATTCATCTTTTCATCTAACTGTTCCTTTAATTCATCCTGCAAATAAGGGCTGTGAGTGTAAGTGGACTCTCCCATGTTCGAATAAAACCACGTACCGTGAACACACCGTTGTTGTTTGACCGTCCAGACTAGAGCTGCTTGTTTGTGCGCCTTGCTTGCTGAGTTGTTTACCTGTATCCGTGTCCCGTAGCGTGCCGGCCTGCTGTAGGGCAGGAATTCCTCCGAGTGCTCGTGAATCAGCAGGAGGCCAAAGGATGCAGAGGAAACGCTCATAAAACCGCTGCCATTAACCGCAGCTTTCTAACTTCTGCCTGGTTTTCTCTTGCTCCCAGTACCAGTCCCTGTTTTCTCTACCGAGCTCAGGTTCCTCTGTTGGGCCGAGGCTGTTCAGTAAGCCCATGAGCCGCTCAGGTACCGTTTTTCTACCGTTTTTATCATGTATCTAGCACCTGAACATCTACAGGCGTTTTTCTTGTGAGCCACTGGCATTGTTTGTGTGGGTTGTTCCTGTAAAAGCAGCTTTCACTGGGTGTTATAAAGGAGACAGGATTTCCTCTGTACAGCCTGCAGAGCCAACCACGCCCCCCCGGCAGCGAGAACACCTCTCACACACAGGCGTCGCTTTTCTGTTTGGATTCAAGTGCTTTAGACACAATAGGTTTCTTAGCAGCACCGTATATTCATTGTGTAACCGCACACAAAGGTTAAAGCAGACGGGGGTAAGAAATGTCTGGAGCTGGTGTCAGACGGAGCCAGTAACACGCCTGACCTTCTGGAAATCCAGCTCGCATACTTGTCTCATGCACACGTCCGCCCACCTGCGGAGCCGCTGTTGAGCGTTTATGATGTCGCCCACGCAGACTTGCATTTTCCGTGAATGGGTTATTTTCTGGTCAGCGGAACGAGAGTTTATCGCTCCATTAATTTATCTCTTTTTCAGATTATGCTTTAAAACGTGTAGCAGAAATGACGTCCTTGTATTTTACTGAGAAGACGTTAGTGGCATTAAAGCCTCGACTTAAAGTATTGTGTATTTTCAGCCGTCAGTTTGATTCTCTGTGTTTTTCAACCATGTAGAAAGTGTTGAAGCACGTAGAACAACTCCTCTGCCATCCACAAAATACTTCTGAAAAAACGCTCACACCCCCCCCTCACATTTTTCAAGTGAACACCTCTCGTCCCCCACATCACTTACAGTCCGCCTTTCTTTTGCCCGAGACCTGTGATCAGCAGAGGCCTGAGTGATGCGGCGCCGTTCTGCTTACTCAGGTAGAAATTCCCCTTGACGACGGGCTCTGATTGAATGGCGTCCCTCCCGAGTATATCGGCCTTCACACTGGAGCGTGACTCAGAGTGTCTGCTCAATGACTGATAGGTATAGGTGAACACCGAGACGTTACGGTTGTCACTTTAGTTTAGCTCCAATTAATTTAAAAACAAATGTGACACCACATGGGAGAACGTAATGTAAAGGCTGCACTAAACGATAAGACACTGGCTCTTAACACACTGATGGGCAGAATATTCTTACATGTAAATGTGGCTTTCTTTATCTCGCTGCCTCACTTCAACGGCGGGTAAGTTAGCAGGCGAGTCCGCAGATTTGTTGTCACTGTCGACAGAAGCACAGCTCTTTCCAGATGACTTGGTGTCCCGATTGTCCCCCCAGGAAGGCTCTGCTCCATGATCTGCTCGCTCTGCACAACTTTAACATCACTAGCTCAGTTTACTGACAGGTTAACAGCCATTGGTCAAACTGACAGTGGAGACACGACTTCAAGCTTCTTAACGATTAATTAATCTGATTGAAAATTAACCATTTCTGATAAAAAGTCATGCCATGTTTTGCAACAACCGATGGGTAATACTAATAATAATAATA